TTGTCTCCTCAGCACAACTGCAATATGTGACTGTATCTGTTAATACCCATCTTTCCAGAGTTGAACATAAGAATTCCAACCGTATTGATTCATCTAATCACATTTGTACTAATCACTCAACAAAATTCTTCTTATTACATTTCAAGATGGAAAAATTTCACCCTCGACAGAACCATCCAATCATTGAATTCAATATAGTCGTTTGCTGAAAAATTAATAATGATTTCCAAGCAATCAAATCCGATTCTACGGTTGCAAATGAAATGACAACAAACAACCATCTTATCATAATATCAAGAAGCAAACAAGCAAGAAACGTATTATCTAAGGCAAACCCACACCAGTCAACCGAAAATGAGAGATTGAGATTTTTTTCTTTTTTTAAAAAAAGGATAAATATGATTAAAAGTGCAGATATTATTTATATGTTTTAGAGGGAAAAATGAATTAAAAAAAGGATTGTGCTTTTAATTTATACCTCGAACGTCGTACCAGAGGAGAAACGAAGGGAGCAGAGGAACAGAAGACGGTAATGTTGGAGATCGAAGATAAAAGCAATGAAACAGAGGAAACGCAAATCTACGGCTGAGGAAGAAAAGTATCCAACGGGGGGTGGTGGTGTTTGGGAGGCAGAGAAAGGTAATTGGTCCAAATGGAGAAAAAGTCAAAGGAAATTTGGTAGGAGATTTTTCGTCTTGGAATTCTATTGGTCGATGCTACGATTGAATCAAGGGCTTTGGGGAGTCGCGTCGATGTCGTTTGTTGATTTGGTGATGATGGGAAAGTGGGCTTCAGAATTTTGGGCCCATGATGTGAAACTTCAAACCTAAAATTCATCATTCCATACGTTTAATTTAATACACCACTTCAATTAATTTTTGGACATACAATATTTTCATGTAACTATTATTTTCACTTTTAGTATATGATTTGGAATCATAAATTATATTATTTCATATATACTATTAATGTTAAAATATTCATTTATGATATTTCTGATGGGATTAAACGCGTCGTTTAACGAGTCTTAAAAGATTTAAGACGGTTGATTTGTAACGGACAAAAAGTTCAGCCAATCACACGGTTGATAAGACAAGAAGGTTGACGACTAGTAGCCAGCCAATAGATTCCTGCCAAGTCAACCAACGATTCCAAACGCAAATTGTAAATTAAACGGTGACTTATGAAATCTTCCACCCAAAAAAAAGAAAAAAAAAAGGGAAAAAGGAAAATTCTCGCTGCCGGAGTATTGGTAATGTTCATTGTCAATTACCGTGTCAAACTCGTTTCTAGGGGGAAGGAATCGAGGTTTTGCCGCGGCCTTTTTTTTTTTTTTTTGTTGTGGATCGTTCGATCTGCTAATCAGTCGGTCGACCGGTCTTTCCAAATTAAGGTCGGTGTTTATCTTCTTCGGTATAAACTGGATGCATTCAGATTCTTTGAATTTTTTTTTTCTTTTTAATGTTTGTTAATTGTTTCTTTTTGTATCTTCTGGTTTAATTGATCATGAACTCTTCTATTGTCTTCGATCGTAAAATATTTTGTGTTAATTGAATGCCGAATAATGTGTGTCGCAATGCGCCATTTTGATTTTAAAGAGGGATCTGAGGAGCTTTGATGTTTTTGTTCGGGTTTCTTTTTTGTTTCTGTTTTTGAGGCGGAAGGGAGGAGGGGGGTCGATACGGTGAATTTTTGGGCAAAAGTTAAGTTCGTTTGGTCGTTGGAAAAATGAAGGGTGAAAAGATGAGGAATTGCTTGGTATTGATCAAGAAAATATATTTGTTCTTCACCGTCTTATTGTATTTTCTTTTTCTTTTTATCTTCCATAATTCCTTAGAAAAACAGGGGTCCTTGCCCTCGTGGGTTTTTTGTTCTTAAAAAAAAAGATTTGTTTGGGGTTTACTTCTGTTTAATCGAGTGTAATTTGTAGATTATGCTGTTCTTACCTGCTTATATGTGGCGTTAATTTAGGTCGTGATGTTTTTTTTTTTTTTTCTAGGTAATTGAGTTTTGGCAATCTAGAGATGTCGAGTGGGTTTGGGGAATCAGCAAGCAGACATCCCCCAGGCCCTTCTTGCTCTAGCGGCAATAGCAGCAATGATGCGGGTGATTTTGAATGCAATATTTGCTTCGACTTAACTCAAGACCCCATTGTAACTTTATGTGGTCATTTGTTCTGCTGGCCCTGTCTCTACAAGTGGCTTCATATTCATTCGCATTCACGGGAATGTCCGGTTTGCAAGGCTGTGGTTGAAGAGGAGAAGTTGGTCCCATTATATGGCAGGGGAAAAAGGTCTACTGACCCCAGGTCTAAATCCATTCCTGGCTTAAACATTCCAAACCGCCCAGCTGGGCAGAGACCTGAAACAGCACCTCCACCAGAGCCAAACCATTTTCCTCAAAATGGTTTTGGGTTCATGGGAGGTTTGGGAGGGTTTGCACCAGCAACAACTGCAAGATTTGGGAATTTTACATTATCAGCAGCCTTTGGTGGTCTTATCCCATCATTATTCAACCTACAGGTGCATGGATTTCCAGAGGCTGCAATGTATGGTCCAGCTGCTGGTTTTCCTTATGGCTTTTCTAATTCATTTCATGGTGGCCACGTGCATGGTTATCCTAGGCATACTGGTCAAGGACAGCAAGATTATTATCTGAAGAAGCTTCTTCTTTTTATCGGGTTTTGCGTTCTATTTGCTCTTCTTTGGCATTAGAAAAAAGCTGCCAACTGCTAACAGATGCTTAGTCATTTCATGTGGTTGTAAATCTTGTAGCACATTCTGTGCTTTACTTTTATGGCAATTGAAGAATTGTTCACATATCATACTTCCAGTGTTTTGTATCTTCTTCAACAGTTGTTATTAGCTTTTGGATATATGCTTGTTAGGCATTTGCATTGTGAGATTTTGCTCCTTTCTCCATTTGTCATTGGAGTTTATCTTATAATGGTAAAGATTTTTTTGGCATGGTGATTTGCCTCACATCTCTCAAATTTATTGCTGTAACATCTCAATTTTTTTTTCTTCCTGTTGAAAGACAGGCATTCAGTTGTGTGTACAAGTGGCCAATTTTATAGTTTTACGCATCATGATTTATTAGGTTGTTAGTGAGCTTGCGGTGCAAAATTTACATTAAGCGGTTTGGGGATTGGTAGGTATAGTTATAATTTTAAATCAGTATGCAATTTGTTATTTCATTTTTGGTTATATAGAAAACATAAATTCCAATAGTTACAGCGTGTTACACAACTTTGTATATTCTCTGATTAGTCGAGGTTATTATTCTAATTACTTACCCCTTAGGCAGTGACCATTGAGCTACTTTTGGTGCATTTTATGCGTTAAAATCATGCAGTTTGGGTGAAGATACTTCCCATTTCTTGGATTGGCTAAGGTTTTTCAGACATTTGTGTAAAAGAGTTAATTGAGACGGTTCCTGGAAGTGGTTCTTCTGCATGCATTTTCTTCTGAGTATCAGGAAAGAGGTTTAGATTGTATAGGTAGACCATTAGATATTCTTTTGACTTTGGCAGTGAGCAGTATGTGCCTTGCCATTTGCTTTAAAAGTCAGTGAAGATCGTAATTTAGTTTCCTTGTTAAAGATCTGAACTAGTTGTGTGGTTATACCGGTTCATGAACTGGTGAAAAATCCGAGGTTAGTCTCTTTTTCTATGGTGCTGTGATTTTTTTTCTTATCCATTAGAAGTCCATTGAGACTTGAATTATATAACAGGCTTATGATGTTGCAATTTGGATGACACAGTGTTCTTACTGTTATTTACTACTTGATGCTGCTATGTAACCATGGATGAAAAGTCTCATGGTTGGACTCTGAATTTTGGTCTTTTGAGTCTTTCTTAATAATCTTTATGCAGAAAGTTAAGAAGATATTGCAGCTTTTGTGGAAGGTCGGAACTCGGAAGCAGCTGGGTGCATGCGGGTCCGCTATGTTTTGAGATCCAGAGTTTGGGTATGTAATATTTTAGAAGACTTATTGTTGATTTTTTTTGGAGAAAAAATAATAATTTTATTTTTTTTCTTTTTAGGTTATTTCAGTTAGAGTATTTTTAAAATTTCTAATATACTGATAAAGAAATTTCTATTTTACTAAATTTTTAACTATATGAGATTATTATTCTCATAAAATTTTAATTACGTAATATCAGATAATTAAATAATAAATTAAAATAATTAAATAATAAAATACGGTAACCAACACTTATGTTTTACAGAGGATCAGTGGAACCTGGTAAAGACTATTTGGTTGATGGGTGAAGCATCGTGTATTTGTGATTGGATGAACTCCTTTGACTTCTTAAATTTAAGAAGTTTCTCTACTACTACAAACTGGTGTGCTGGTTATTTTATAGTAATTAGATGCATTCTCCTCACTCTTTCCTGTGGAAATGGTGCTGACTTAGTTTGAGGATTGGCTGTTTTGTTAGATCCATCCTTTCTTTTTTCTGTTTAAAAATCATTTTCTCTGAACATAATGTTGCGGAGTAGCCATTTCATTGACTTTGGAGGTCTACTCGGTAACTGTAGGTGTTTGAATCCAGGATAGATAAGTTAAGAATGTCACTGTCTACCTTGGTACTCATTGCATGTATTGATCCTCTTTTTTGCTTGACCCCTTGTTGGGACCTTACCTTGAAGTGAACGTTCCTTTCAATGCCTAGTATGCTGGTGGCAGGTAATGGGTTTCCCTGTCAACTCATGCTAAAGTATAAGCAGTTCTGATATTGGGGATTTCTCAGAGACATCCAAGAAGGCATGCTATCACTGGAGGAAACTGTATGCAAAGCCACTTTGGTAACGTAGATTTTTTCATTTCATTTAGATATCAGTCTTCATTAGATGTTTGAGTTGTAATGTGAAACTGAAGATTTTTCGATTTATGGTTTGAGTATGGAGGTTCGATCTTACATAGCTATTCGTGATATGAGGTAGGAATAGCTGCATCATATCCTTGATAATTTTTGGCTAAGCTTAGTTGGCATCCACCTTATCTAGTTTATATTGGCATGTGAAGGCAAATTCTACTTTGTGGTGGTGGTGTTTTTGATTAGTTTTGGGTGTACTTTCATAAAAAGATGATTTGTCAAGTGAAGAATTCATATGATCCAATTGTTGAAGATACTTGTTGCTTGTGGCCCCTCATATTCCAAGAACCTACCTTTTTGGCACATGGATTACTTGGTACAGAATTGGGTTTCATCAAATGCATAACATAATCAAGAAACTTTTGGCGATTTTCGGAATAAATTGAAAAACCCGACGGAAGTTATTTATGGATTCACGGTTTAAATTTAGTTAGACCGAAAAAAAAAATAACTTAAATGTGACATTTTAAATGTAATACAATAAGGAGTTTGGATTGCATTATTTAGTTCCATAAGAATTTGATAAAAATGATAGAATTTCTCCTGCTCATACTAACTGCATTACGTCATGGTATGGTCATGCCAACGTTGGTTGTAGGTTGTTTTGTGTCCTATCTTGAAGTTGGTGTGAACAATGGGATCCAACTATTATCCTTTGTATGTTGTTTGTATGTAAATGTTAGAAGTAGCCTCAAACGATGATGGCAGTGTAACAGTGATTCTGAACTAATTAGAATTAAGATATCGAAATTTGAAGAGATGAATAGGTTTGAATTGATGGGAGAAAATTTTCCCTCTTTGCTTCAGATTCTTGGAAGAAGGGTAATATCAGTTGGGTGATTGCTGTTCGTATTAAATTAGCATATAATTTTCTTCAAAATAACTGGGTGGTTGAATACACAATCTTTTCATTTCTATAAATTGTAAGTTTAGTTCTACATAAAAAAATTTGAGTCATAAATATTATGCGGAATTGAAATGCTACAAGTCTAAAATTTCTGTCAGGGTTAATAGAATTTTAATTTCACATAAAAAAAATTTTTAGTTACGAACTGAAAATTAAATATAATTGAATTGGAGATTAAAATAAAATTTAATACTGATGTAAACCTGGTTTGCTATAAGAAAAGAAGTGTTAGGTGATGTATTATAAAGTTGAAGCTAAAATACGAAAAAGACATAATTGATATAATAATTTAAAAGGGTTGCTGCTCTACTTCGGCCAATGGCGACTGAATGAGCTACGGCCTGAGTAGTGGGACAGCTTCTTTATTTTCATGCAAATTACAAAACGTGGGAGCTTTTGCTTTCTGTCTTCCCATCTTCAAGGCTTTCCCACCACTACCATTCATCATTTAATTTTATACATATATATATATATATATATATATATGAGGTAGTGTTAACGCTTGCGATCCGAAATAAACTAAATAATAAACACATGAATCATAATTATGTATCAAATTTATAATTAATGAAGTTAGTAAAATGTTAATTCCATATAAATTTATAATTATAGTTTTTATGAAATTTTGATTTGAACCAAAAACCAAGTAGGATGTAATAGAAATTTTTGGCCATTCACAATAATTAATAAGATAGATATATATATATATATATTTAGTAAAAAATTTACATATATTGTCTTAATTCATAGATATATATATATATATATGTGTGTGTGTGTTTATTAAATACATATAAAAATGAATTCACAATTTTTTTAGAAAAGAGAAACGTACTGAAGATTTACCCAAAAAATTTGTTGGCAATAAGAAACCATGTGGTGGAAGAAGGTGCATCGCCTGCGGATGTACTGAGTTAATGCGTGTGCGTGTGCGTGTATATATATATAGAGATAGCTCGTACACAAAAACAGAGCTCATCCATATTTATTTGTACATATGGGACGACTAAATTCACTTCACACATATATATATATATATATGTATGTTTGTATGTATGTATGTATGTACGTATAATGAGGAGAGTCAGACGCGTTTGCAGTGGTGGGGTTCGTGTCGGTGACTGAGGAACTCTTTCAATTCCACCTACTTCACGTCAGGGAACTCTGCAACTGACATGCTTGTTTCTTATGTCTCGTAAGCTCTCCATTTTTTTGTTCTAACGTTTTTAGGGTCATATTTATATATATATATATATATATATGTATGTATAACTCCATTCTTCTTAATTTCTAACATTGTATCTACTTTCCTTCCTCTTTATTATGTAACCAAAACAGTACTGGCTTCATGTACTTACACACCTCTCCCCCAACTCACTCATTTATTACACACTCATCCATTTTCCTAAAAAAAAGCAAATAGATAATGTACATACTACAATACATGAATAGCGAGTTCAAAATATAAATACCCATAATTTAATTTCAGTTTTATAGTTAATCCTAAGGTGATATCTCTTGTACAAGTGCTTCTGTAACCCTCCATTGATGAATTACTTCTTCATTTTTTCACAATTCACAAAATCAAGTTTTTGGTGGGTGGAGATTGTTTGATTTAGAATGAATGTTGTGTAAATTGACACTCGAACTAAACATTGGAGATGAATTGGCTTTGTATCCCCATCAAATACTGGTAAGCTATCTCTCTCTCTCTCTCTCTCTCTCTCTATATATATATATATATATATACACACACACATACATATATATATATACACACACACACACAGAGGGTATATTTATATCCCCATCAAAATTCGATTGTCAGTTTGGAGTGATAGCGTAAAAACAACACACCCACCCTTGGGAACAAAGCATTCTCGTACTTCCAACATAATGTATGATGTTAACGTTCTCTTCTTTTCTAATTTACTATTTTAATTATTTTTAATTTACTATTTTTGGATACTAAACATTTATTAATATACGGATAATACAAATTTATTACGTCTATTAAATAAATATATTCTATTATAAAATCAAATCAAATAATGGTACATTAAAACATAAATTAATGTTTATGTTTGCGAAGTATTTTATTTAAATTTAGTAACTAATTATAATTAGTGAAAATATTTATTTTCTTATTTTAATAAGATTGGATATCTCTAGAATTGGAAAGTAACTTACTTTTTTTTTATTAATAAAAATTTATTGTCTACTGATATGGACTTGTGTTAATATTTTTTATTTGTTAATTCGATATTTAATATGTATTAATTAATTAAAAAAAAAACTATTTTAAGTAGGAAATTAAATAATAATTAGTATAAAAATACTAATTTAATTAGAAAATTATAAAAAAGAAAAAAAAAAGTTTGAAAAAATTTAGTAATAAGGAGTTAGAAGGGGGACCCATGCCCAAAGAGGCAACAATCTAAGACCAGCTTCAATGTGAAACCCACACTCTCAATCTTTCTTGACCAACCTTCCATTCCAGCTACTCAGGCGGCTCTTCTTCTTTATATATATATATATATATATATATATATATATATATAAATTTTTAAAAAAAGTATTTATCACAAAAATAAATAAATAAAAGGAAAAAGTAAAAGAAAAACCGTGTTCAAACTTTAAAAAAATGTAACACCAGCAACCCTCCTGTTCAGATCTCGTAAATAATAAAAACCCAACGCCAAAACAACTAGCAGTCGGGAAAATCTTCCAATACTCGCTATGTCCCTTCTCGTCTTCATCTTCCTCATCTCCACTCCTTTTACCTTCGTTCTCACCAATGGCTTTCCTTCTACTCCTCAAAGCTTCAAGGAAGCTCCTCAGTTCTACAACTCCCCAGACTGCCCTTCCACCACCCTCGACAACCCAATTTTCTGTTCCTCTCATGCCGTCCACGTCGCCATGACTCTCGACACTGCTTACATCCGAGGATCCATGGCTGCCATCCTCTCCGTCCTCCAACACTCCTCGTGTCCCCAAAACGTTTTCTTCCATTTCGTCGCCTCTGCGTCTGCTAACCTCTCACTTTTACAATCCACCATCTCCTCCTCCTTCCCTTACCTCAACTTCCGAGTCTACCCCTTCCATGACTCAGCTGTTTCCCGACTCATCTCCACCTCCATCCGCTCCGCCCTCGACTGTCCCCTCAACTACGCTCGCAGCTACCTTGCAAACATCCTCCCATTATGCGTCCGCCGTGTCGTCTACCTCGATTCCGACCTCGTCCTCGTCGACGACATCGCGAAACTCGCCGCCACGCATCTCGGCTCTGAAGCAGTTCTCGCCGCGCCGGAGTACTGCAACGCTAACTTCACCTCTTACTTCACCCTAACTTTCTGGTCCAACCCCTCGCTGTCGTTAACTTTCGCCGATCGCAAGGCTTGCTACTTCAACACGGGAGTTATGGTGATCGATCTGGACAGGTGGCGGGAAGGGGATTACACAACGAGGATCGAGGAGTGGATGGAGCTGCAAAAGAGGATGAGGATATACGAGCTGGGTTCATTGCCGCCATTCTTGCTGGTGTTTGCAGGGAGGATAGTGCCGGTGGACCATAGATGGAACCAGCACGGACTCGGGGGGGATAACTTCAGGGGTCTGTGCAGGGATCTGCATCCGGGTCCCGTCAGCCTCCTGCATTGGAGCGGGAAAGGAAAGCCGTGGGCTCGCCTGGACGCCAACCGGCCTTGCCCATTGGACGCGCTTTGGGCTCCTTATGATCTGTTGCAGACTCCCTTCGCTTTGGATTCGTAACAGGTAATTTTGAGGAAGACGGTACAGTACGTGGGTGGCGGGAAATGGGTGTCCATGAACAATCATGATCAGATAAAGTTGTGAAGTTTTGGGAAATGAGGATTGAGGAGATAAGAATTATGGCGGAGGAGGAGAAGGGATTCGTTTGGTAAATGATTACTTGTAGATTATACAGGTAGCTTTCTCTTTTCAATTCCTTTCTCTCTTTTTTTTTTTTTTTTTTTCAAAAAAGAAATACTTTGTTTGATAAACTGCATATATATATATATATATATAAGCATATATAAATATATATATATATATATATGTATATGTATATCAGAGTTGAAAGTACAATCAGTAGCAAATAAGGAGAAGAAGATGGATTGATGATCGGATAATGTAATCTGTATGAAAAACTGTGTATAGCCAAACAGGTATTCTCATGAATTTCATTTCATTTCATTTCATTCCTTCTCTAATAATTAATAATAATCAAAATCTCAATTTTTATTTTTCCGTCTCATACTTACATTTTTCTGTGTCTTGTTTGGACGAAGCAAAAAGAACAAGAAGAAATGGAAAAACCCAAGTTTTTATTTTTAAGTAAATTTCAGGAATTTGTTATTATTATTATGTGAGAATTTTGACTTTTTTGGATTTTGTCCGAGTTGGAATTAACATATTAATTTTTCACATGGAAAAATAATTAATTTTCGCACTCTTTAAATTTCCATGTGGAAGTGGCTGGAAAGATTGTTCTGCCAGCTGACACTCATCATTAATTAACACCAAATTACTTACTTTCCATCTGTGTGTGTATATATATTAATTACAGATTATAACTAATTAATCACCCAATCTTAAGTGTCCTCTTCGCAAATCAGCTTCTTAAATTTATAAATCCTTATGTAATACCCCTAATTAATTTTACCCACGATACCATATCAAAGTTCAAACCATATAAACTATTTTCCTTTAATGGGTTTGGAACAATACATATTCTATGCACCCTCCTATTAATTTTTACAAGTAAATTTTCATTTCTTAAAAAAATATAGTTTAAAATAATTAAATGCAAATTACAATTAGTCAGCACGTATTTTTTAATTTCAATGTCACATTAATTAGTGAAAGATACGTATTGCGTAGTTTTATTTACAATATTTATTTATTCATGAGCAAAAAGACAAGAAAAAGGAAATTTCCAAAAAAAAAAAAAAAATTGAAGTAAATTAAAGGTTGATGTTGATATTACGTTTAATTAGGTGGGGATGAGAATCAGTACGTATATCATTTTTGAATTACCAAATGGTGTCTCTCACCGTGCTAATTTTTAATTTATTGTAATTTATTTATGACGACTACATAATTAGTGATGTAATTTGATAAATTTCAGCTAATTAATTATCGCTAATCAAAGATTATCAAATCACATTTATTATATATTTCATAACCCAGAAAAAGGAATAGTTAATCAAGTAAAAATAAAATAAAATAAATATAAGATATTGGATGAATTAAGAGAATAATACCACAAACCAAATAAATTATTTGATTCTAAATTTTATTGGTCGTTTACGCAAATTTGGAGTGTCGGTAGGGGATCGTGAAATGTTGGGCCGCTTCTGCAAGCGACACGTGGTGTTGACCGAATAAGCACGATGATTGTACGGCTGTGATGTAGAAAATATCGTAGTAGTGGGCCCTACGTTGATGGTTCAACAATTGTTGGTAACAGCTTCCTACTTTCTATTACAAGCGTCGTTTTGACTTATCCTACTCTCTCATCAAATCTTGTCTTCGTCTCCTACAATCTCTCTACTATACAACATATATATATATATATATATATATACGTATAGAAGTTGGTAGGGTAACGAGTAATATCAACCTTGTTATAGAAGGTGATACTCAAAAGATTTTCTTGACTTGGTATAATTCTAAATCTAATGTTCTTTCAGGTTTTGAAATTATTTTTTAGATAGATGGTCTGCTTGAGATTTAAAAATTTTGTGTTTTAATTAAGATGACTAATCTCTTAATTAAGAATCATTATCATCATAAATTAAAACTTAATTACATACATAATTAAAAAATAAATCTCGACCAAGTCTTTAATTGAAAATACTTTAATATTGTACGCATGCCAATTCCGATTAAGACAGACTAATTTCTAACATTAATTTGGAAGTGGCGTGCATCTTGCATGAGAAAAAAGAAAAAGAAATTTCTTTTATCTCTCCTAATCAATTTATTAATAAAAGTTATTAGTGTTAATTTTGATAATTAACTAAAATAAACAGGTTAATGATCTCATCTCATCTCATCGACCAAGAACGCGGGTGTTTGGAAGGAATCAAATGTACATCTTTACAATAAATACTGCATTAATTTTCTACTTAAAATAATTTTGAATTATTAAATAAATTTTTTATAGTGTTAATCATTTTCTTAATATTAAAAAAAAATGATTAGTGCAAAGACGATTAAGGAACGAGAGTTTATTGGTGCATGAAGATTTGATTTGACAATTAGTTTCCCAATAGTGACTTGGTTAAGCATGCCCCAAACATCATGTTCATAATTTCATCAGTGCAGATACTTTAATGAGATGAATTGTATATACATATATATATATATATATGTATGTATGTATTAATATATGGGTATTTTTCTGCATACACTATATTATATATTAGGGATTAGTTAGTGGGCGATAATGAACCTAACTAATTACATAACATAATGAAATAATTAATTAGGACTTAGCAAGAGGATTGACTATGCATTATTATAATTTGTTAGTTGAAACAAGACTTACATTACATATATTTATATTTTTTTTCTGTTGACGTGTATTAAATTTTAATAATATTTATTTATATTTTGAGAAATAATTTATATTTAATATATATTTTAAAGAGTTTTTTTATAAATAAGTTTGTTAATTTATTAGGGATGTAATCTTAAATTATATAATGAAATAATTTCTTACCGATTTTACCTGTGAATGTAGATACACTGTCGAATCACGTAAAATTTTTGTATTTTTTTTAAATTTTTATTTTAGTGTAATTGTGAGTGTGCTGCAAAAGGTTGCATGGTTTGGTGATCATATAATATATATAAATATAAATATATATATATATATATATGTATATCTAGGTTTTTGTAGAAAGATATTTGAAGCCACATGGTTTATACACAAAACAAGATGTAAAAATTAATATGGGTTTTTATAAAGTGTAAGCGAAGGCAAGAGAATTGGGTGGATATCAATGAATTTCGTCGTAAGGAAGGAGGAAGTAAAATTCCTTATGATATATATTCTCTTTCACGTGCATCAAATGCAAAGTAATGGGTTAGATGTTGCAGTCCTTTTATACACGATTCGTACTCAAATTGTACTTCACCTAATTTTCTACACATCATATACATATATATATATATACACACGCATAAAAATATACCCAATACAAAATCACCACACGCAAGGGGAAGAAATACATGAACAAAGCAGGCGAAGGAAAGACAGCCCAGCCCAGCCCATAAGCTACATATGGGCCAACTAAAATTAGTTTGAGAAAAGGCCTAAATATTAAAATAATTTCTGGACCATACAAATAATATTCAAAATTTTATATAAAGTACACTTTTTTTTTTTTTTTCCAATTCAAAATTCTTCGTGTAACTTTTAACACGATAGTAAAATTTCTCGTGTCTGTTAATTTTCTCTAACAACAATATCTGAACTTATTATGTGAATAAATTACGCCGTGTCTATTTTTTAAATTTGATGACATTCACATTGGCGATCGCGTGGATGGCACGCTAGCAAATCTTTCTTCCTCGTCTTCGTGTGAAGGCAAATACGAGAAGGATACTATATCGTTAAATTTGAAACAAACTTGATGTGGTTTGTTCGTGTCATTTAATACATTGGCTAGTTTTTCTTACATAAAGTTATTGGAGAGGACGAACTTTATTATATTTTTAAAAATTTATGAAAAAATTTTGAATTAAAAAAAAATACTTTGAGGGGAACTTCGAACATTTTTTGTGTGTATAATTCATGGATTATTTTGGTAGTTTTACCCAAAATTATTTAACGATGATGGTATATATATATATATATTATAATAAATCTGCTTATGCTCATAAAACTTTAGCTGATAATTTTTTGTTGATAAATTAAATATTTATATGAATATATTATTATAGAAAAGGAACTAAATATCTAATAAGTGAAGTTAATTCAATTATGTATTAACAAGATAAATTATGATAAAATTTTTAGACTAAATTATAATTAGGATTAATAATTGAATGGTAAAATAGAGTACATATATATATATATATATATTAAAAGGTGAATTTGGATTGGAGGAAAGTACTTTTTGAAATGCAAAAGTTAGTTTACCCCTTTAACCAATCAAATATTAGTACTAATATTTATATGGTATGCTTTTCTTGAGTGTGTATATATATATATACACAATATATATACAAACACATAGGTGATAAAAGAAACTAATGTGAGCATTAGAAAACAAATAGCTTTGGGGTTAGTTGATTGTTTGATTTGCACCATAAAGTTGGTGATAAAAAAATAAAAGAAGCAACACAAGAATTTCCAGTCACTTTCCAAAAGAAATATACTTTTGTACAAGAAGCCAAATTCTTCTTCAATTAGGTCCACCCCACAATTTCAGAGAAAGCCATGAAGCTGTCCTGCAATTTCCTGTTAGTTAAGCCTCAATTTTCATGACTCCCACTTCATCTTCTCAATTACCCAGTTAGCTTTATAAATAACCCATCTCAAACTCGTACCTTGATCATGGCTACAGCCGTCGTCTCCAAGCCCAGCAAATGGCTCTCTCACAAGACCTTGAAGCTCATTAGTTTCCCTCGTCTTCTCTCAAAACCCTCATCCTCCTCCCCTTCACCATCCCTCTGTAATAACCAAGAGAAACTAGAGCAGGTTTTTAACCACTTAGATGCTGATAAAGATGGTAGAATTTCAAGCCAAGAAATCAGCGCTTACTTTGCATCCATAGGCGAGTCTGTGTCGGACGAAGAGGCTGGGAAGGTGATTAAAGAGTTCGATATGAATGGTGATAACTTCCTGGAGTTGGGGGAGTTCGTGCGGTTAATGGAAGCTGGAGGGAAGGAGGTTGACGATGACATCAGAAGGGCTTTTGAGATGTTTGAAGTTGACAAAGGTTGTGGATATATCTCGCCCAGAGGGCTGCAGCTCATGTTTAATCGTCTTTGGATATCTAAAATCGCAGGACGAATGTGCGATCATGATTGGAGTCTTTGATCTTGATGGAAATGGAGTACTTGACTTCAATGAATTTCACCACATGATGACTACTACTGCAACCTAGTATTTATCTGTAACTATATATATATATATACACACATCCTTCAATCTTGGACAAGTAATAAAATCCATATTAATTAGCAATCAGAGAAAGAGGAATGGGCTGACTACAGTTTTGGGCTTCATCCATGATCGAGTAATGGGCTCGACAAAAGCCCAAATGGGCTCCAATAATTCTGAGAAAAAAAAAATCAAACAAATGCTAACCAACAAATTAAAAATATATTTCTCTGTTTTTTAAACAAAATAAATTGAAAAGAATTGGTTCATGTCATATCATATATACAAATATTTTATACACAGTCGAGTAAAAATAGGTTTAGAATTTAGTTGAATTAGATTCAAATACAAAACTATATGGTAGTCATGATCCGTAGCTTTGACAAACCGAATTAAAATATGCATGCAATCAGATTTGTTAAGAGGATGAAAACAGACATATATGACCGTCAGCTGCATTTTTTCTACTTGTTTTAACCCCAAGTCTTCATTAACATTAGTCATTAGTGTGTGTGTGTGTGTTTGTATATTATAACATAAAAACTGGGTCAGTTCATGGGTGTTTCTGATAATTCAGACAAGATCACACGCCAGAAAGATCTGTTTTAATTCCCCAATCAGCTCATACAATTCTTGCTTGCAATTACAATCCTCCAACCCATTAATTCATTATCTTCTCTCAACCACTAAGAATGAGTCTTCACATGAACATCCTTCTCTGTTTCCTCCTACTCAGTTATCTCAGTTGCAATAGCAATGCTCAACAAAATTACTCTCCTAATTCAGGCTGTAACTGGGACCATGGAACAGGAGGACATCTCTACACATGTAATGGCAAAAACAAGTCCTGCCAGGCCTTCCTCATCTTCACCTCTCGACCTCCTTATGACTCGGTGTTGACTATTTCAACCCTATTTCTTCCCATCTTGAAGGCCTAGCAAAAATCAATAATGTCTCATCTTCTCAAGTTTTCCCACCAAACAAAGAGGTCATTGTTCCTATAGATTGTTTTACAAGGCCAACACCACCTTTCATGTTTCAACCAATTTCTCCACATACTTGCTCTTCTCTAATCGCTGCAAATCCATACCAGATAAACGAATTGCAAATTGGTATGAGATTGCAGGTTCCACTTCTATGTGCTTGTCCTACCAGGAAACAAACTGCCACTGGTACAAAATACCTGCTGACTTACACAATCCACAATGGTCAACATATTCCTGCTATTGCCAACAGGTTTAATGTGAGCACTAACAGTATACTTGATGCAAATAACTTGGAGGAGAACACAATTCTCATCAGTACCACGAGAATTCTGATTCCTTTGGCAACTCAACCTTTCAGCTTGCAGACCATAACCTGTGAGAATCACCAATTTCTAACTCTACCTCTGTCTTCTTCTAGTTATCCTGCAAAGGGCGAATCAAACGAGGGAATTGGAATTGCCGCAGCTGGCTTTTGCCTCCTTGTCCTCATCCTTCTTGTTATACAAAAAGGTAAGAGATGGAGTTTCCCAAGATGGAAATGAATGGAAGGGAAAGCAACTGTTGCCAGCAGATCTTTTCTTGAAATTGCTAGCTTCGAGCAGCTTCTCAAAGTGTTTGAATTTGACTAGATAAAGGAAGCAACAGAGAATTTTAGTTCCAAGAACAGAATAAAGGGTTCTGTTTATTGTGGTTATTTTGGTGAGGAGATCCTAGCTGTCAAAAAAATGAATTTGAACATATCCGAGGAAGTGAACATTCTGAAGAAGATCAACCACGTCAATTTGGTAAAGCTTAAAGGCATCTGTGAAAATCACAGCTGTTTTTACTTTGTATTTGAGTACATGAAAAATGGATCTTTAAGGGAATGGCTTCATAGCAGAAACTCACAAGAAGCAGGAAGCTGGAGCAGGAGGATCCAGATTGCTCTTGATGTGGCCTATGGACTGCACTATCTTCACAGTTTTGTCAAACCTGCGTATGTGCACAAGGACATAACAAGTGGAAACGTTCTTCTAAACAAAGATTTAAGAGCTAAGATTGCAAATTTCAGTCTTGCAAGCAGAGCAGTAGAGATAAATCCTGCCCCCCAGACAACCCGTATCACTGGGACTAGAGGTTATATGGCACCTGAGTAGTCAATGAAAGTGTGGTGACTCCTAAAATTGACGTCTATGCCTTTGGTGTCATACTGCTGGAGCTGATTACTGGGAAGGATGCAATCATTGTAGAGGAGGCAAGAGCAAGACTACTTTCGTCAGCAATTGTTTCCACAATGAAAGGGGATCATGCAGAAGCTGAGCTCAGTTTCTTCATGGATCCTTTCTCTGAAGGGCGGAAAGTGGAAGAAATTTTCGTTGCAGCTGGCTCAACTAAGCATAGCCTGCCTGATGCAAGAACCAGAAGAGAGACCAGACATGGAGGAGGTGATGTCAGCACTTCTAAGAATCCGGTCAGCTTTGCTGAAATCAGAATTATTACACATGGAGTTCATATAGGATCTTCACTTTGTCTCAATAAATATTGTGAAAATGAATTTTAGTTCAAAGTAACCATTATTGTACATAAATCTTTCATAAAAGTACTGATTACTTGTTCTTGAAGAAGTGTGAGTTTGTCATCTTAACATCAGATCTTAGCAAATTTGATTTAAAGCTGTTACCAAACCATTTAAGATCCAAAAAAAGAGAAAAAAACAACTATCGAATGATTCAGCTTAATTAGTGAGGCTTAAAGGAACAATGTGGCACCGGAGAAGTTACGATAAATCGTCATCTTATTAATTTATCAGAAAAAAATAAGCATTATCCTCTACAACCAAGAGGCATAAATAGGCCTATCTAGGATCTAATTTCTATGGACAAAGGGTTTTGTGTGCTTCGGCCTTAGATTCTAATAGGACAAGACCAAAAGCTATACAAATCATTGAAAGAAATAAGTATTTGTTGTAAGCATGAGGATTTTGGGACTTCAAAAGGGAAATCCCCCAGTCATCCGAATATGCTCGAGGGTTGCTTGAAGGCCATACTTATTAACTGCATGATGACCAGCTCTGAATCCATCACCATACACTGGGGAAGTGTCCGATTCAATCTGGTGTTTGAAAAACTCGCCAAGTTTCCTGTCAAACTGAGATCTTTCACCTCCCTTCCTGGAAATTCTGGAAGGTGTCGCAGATGAACTTGATGCTGCATTGGCACTTGAGCCTGATGCAAGCTGAGATTCTAACCACATGTGTGCTAGCACCTGACAAATACCCTCTTCAACATCTTGGCTGAGATTGCGGAAACCTTACAAACAAAAGGCACATATATCAGCATTGAAGAAACACGCACCCAAAGATATGGAAAACTAACACCATTAATATTAAACTATATAAGGTGCAACTCAATATTCTGAATACGCTTGATTGGATGAACTGCATTACTACAAGAAACCATTGAAAACAATAAACCGAGGAACTCTTGATTTGAAGGAAACAAATTAAACCGATTTTAGATGCCATTGAATGGTATGGGAAGCACCTTTAAGTCGCATCCATGCATGCATCATTTCATGAGCAAGAATTGACCCGGTAAGCAACCTGCAGGATGGAAACCCCGGATCATACACAAAATGCTCAACCAATAATTACGATGAAAGAAAAAACATCTCTACCAAAAAATATCCCATGATATAAAATGATAGCAGGAAGAAAATAGTAACAGTAAACGAAGATAGAACTAGAGCAAAATTTTGAGATCTTAGAGCCTGCCAAGTGTCAACTTGGCAAGACAGAAATTTGGATTTATGATTAGATAAACATTTTTTAAAAGAAATCCAAACTGAATCTTTTTTAATTAATTTATTATTACATTCATCAATACAAACTTAAGAAAAAAGTTTTATTTCATCTTAATCATCTATTCATATAAATCTAAATTAGCTTGTTTTTTAAATGAAAAATATGGTTGACTTAGCATTGATAAAACATCTTAGTCTCTATTTGTATTGTATATATAGAAGGGTAGGTCAGTACGTTTACAATTTATGTTAGACTTTAGTTATAAACTTCTTAGTTGGCAGCAGGAATAAGTTTTCAAAACAAAGAAAAATAAGTCTAGATTTGATAAAATTAGTGGGGAGTTACTGTGATTTACCCTTATTGGGGAGTAGTCCCGCAACAACTCCTGGCCGCCCAAGCAGCCAGGCAGGAACCTCCTGGCAGAGTAGCCACTCGCCAGTCACCTCTTAGTCACTAGATCTGCCTCTTCACTTGCCTCCCTCTTCTTTTCTTTTCTTTTTTTTTTTAAAAGTTTTCACTTTATTTATTATTATAGAACTAAACTCTACTTGAGATTTAGGCCATTCAAGTGATCATGAATAGGATAATGTATGGAAATGCTTCTCTTTTCTCTTTTTCTTAAAAAATATTTATTTTTTAATTTTTAAAATAAATCAATAATTTAAAAATAGTAGTCACTTAAAAATGAATTTAAAAGCAAATTTACAAAGAAGTTCAAAATTTTAAAAGAAAAAGATATTTGATAGGCGGTAGATGTGTAGGGTAGAGAAAATACAGGGAACATTATGTAAATTTTTGTTAAACAAATGTAGTGCCATATAGTATTGTTATTTCACTTTTTATGTTAGGATTAAGTACATTTTTTTCATGTAAGAGGGTTTGCAGATTCTAAGTAAAGATGGGGTGGTTTGTTGCCACGACTAACATGGGGTACCTTTTGTAACTTAAGCCCACACTTAAGAGATATGTAAGTTTTCCCAAGTAAATGCAGCCTAACTTTTGTGATGCTGCTTCAAATAAGACATAAATGCTCTGA